AATAGGACAGAGTGTTTGGAAAGGGTGAGAAATCAAACGTCAAGCACACTGGATAAATGAGTGACAATGAAAGGAGGGACAGTTAATACAGGACTGAAGGTGTTGTATCTGAATGTAAGCATTATAAGAACGAAGGTATATGAGCTTATGGCACAGATTGAAATTGGCAGATATGATACGGTGGGCATCACAGAGACAAAGCAGCAAGGGGATCAGGATTAGGAGCTGAATATCCAAGGGCATACATCTTATCGAAAAGATAGGCAAGTGGGCAGAGGGGGTGGGGTTGCCTTATTAGTAAGAAATGAAATTAAATCAATAGTAAGAAACAAAGTAAGGTCAGATGGTGTAGAATCTTTGTGGATAGAGTTGAGAAACCGCGGAGGTAAAAGAAATACATAGTTAGAATTATGTACAGGCCTCCAAACAGTAGTCAGGAGCTGGGGTGCAAGATACATCAGGGGATAGAAAAGGTGTTTTTAGAAAAGCAAAGTTACGGTGATCATGAGGGATTTCAATATGCAGGTGGACTGGGAAAATCAGGTTGGTAGTGGATTGCAAGAAAAGGAACTTGTAGAATGTCTACGAGATGGCTTTTTTGGAGCGGCTTGTGGTGGAGCCCACTAGGGAAAAGGCAATATTGGATTTAGTGTTTTGCAATGAGGTAGATTTGGTCAGGGAGCTTAAGGTGAAGGAACCCTTAGGAGGCAGTGATCATAATATGATTGAATTTACTCTGCAGTTTGAGAGGGAGAAGAGAATCAGAGTAATGGTATTACAGCTGAATAAAGGCAACTAAAGTGGCATGAGGGAGGAGCTGAGCAGAATTGACTGGGAGAGGAGCCTAACAGGAAAAACAGTAGAACAGCAAAGGCAGGAGTTTCTAGGAGTAATTCAGGAGACACAGCAAAAATTCATCTCTAGGAAAAACAAGCATGGTACAGGGACACTGAGGCAACCATGGCTGACCAGGGAAGTCAGGGATAGTATAAAAGCAAAAGAGAAAGCATATAATGTGGCGAAGAACAGTAGGAAACCAGAGGACTGGGAAGCTTACAAAGACCAACAGAGGGCAACAAAAAAAGAAATAAGGAAGGAGAAGATTAAATATGAGGGTAAGCTAGCCAGTGATATAAAGGAGGACTGTATGAGTTTCTTTAGATATATAAAGGGCAAAAGAGATGCAAAAGTAGACATTGGACTGCTGGAAAATGATGCTGGAGAGATAATAGTGGGGAACAATGAAATGGCTGAGGAACTGAATAATTACTTTGCATCAGTCTTCACTGTGGAAGACATGAGTAATATCCCAAAAATTCGAGAGTCGGGGGACAGAGCTGAGTATGGTGGCCATCACCAAGGACAAGGTACTAGAAAAACTGAATGGCCTGAAGGTGGATACATCACCAGGACCAGATGGACTACACGCCAGAGTTCTTAAGGAGATAGCTGAAGAGATAGTGGAAGTGTTAGTGGTGATTTTTTAGGAATCACTAGAGTCAGGGAGGGTCCCAGAGGACTGGAAAATGGCTACTGTGACACCCCTGTTTAAAAAGGGAGTAAGGCAAAAGAGTGAAAATTACAGACTGGTTAGCCTAACCTCGGTCATGGGTAAGATTTTGGAGTCCCCCCATAATGAAGAATGAAATTTCTGAATACTTGGAAGTGCACAGTAAAATAGGGTAAAGTCAGCATGGCTTCAACAAGGCAAGGTCATGCCTGACAAATCTGTTAGAATTCTTTGAGGAAATAATGAGCAGGTTAGACCAAGGAGAGCCAATAGATATTATCTGCCTGGACTTCAAGAAGGCTTTTGACAAGGTGCCGCACAAGAGGCTGCTGAGTAAGATAAGGGCCCATGGTGTTAGAGGCAAGGTGCTAGCATGGATAGAAGATTGGCTGTCTGGCAGAAAGCAGAGAGTAGGGTTATAAAGGTCTTTCTCAGGATGGCAGCCAGTGACAAGTGGAGTCTCGCAAGGGTCAGTGTTAGGACCACAACTTTTCACTTTATACATTAATGATCTAGATAAAGGAACTGAGGACATTCTGGCTAAGTTTGCAGACGATACAAAGATAGGTAGAGGGATAGGTAGTACTGGGGATGCAGGGAGGCTGCAGAAGGATTTGGACAGGTTAGGAGAGTGGGCAAAGAAGTGGCAGATGGAGTACAATGTGGGAAAGTGTGAGGTTATGCACTTTGGTAAGAAGAATAGAGGGATAGACTATTTTCTAAATAGGGAGAAAATTCAGAAGTCTGAAGTGCAGAGAGACTTGGGAGTTCTCGACCAGTATCCTCTCAAAGTAAACTTGCAGGTTGAGTCAGCAGTTAGGAAGGCAAATGTAACTTTGGCATTTATTTTGAGAGGACTTGAATATAAAAGCAGGGATGTACTTCTGAGGCTCCATAAGGCTCTGGTCAGGCCACATTGGGAGTACTGGGCACATTTTGAGCCCCATATCTCAGGAAAGATGTACTGGCCCTGGAGCGGGTTCAAAGAAGGTTCATGATAATGGTCGCAGGAATGAAAAGCTTAACATATGAAAAATATTTGAGGACTCTGGATCTATACTCGATGGAGTTTAAAAGGATGAGGGGGGATCTAATTGAAACTTACAGAAAACTGAATGGCCTGGACAGAGTGGACGTTGGGAAAATGTTTCCATCGGTAGGAGAGGCGAGGACCCATGGGCACAGTCTCAGAGTAAAGGGAAAACCTTTTAGAATGGAGATAAGGAGAAACTTCTTCAGCCAGAGAGTGGTGAATCTATGGAATTCATTGCCACAGAAGGCTGTGGAGGCCAGGTCATTGAGTACATTTAAGATGGAGATAGATAGGTTCTTGATTGTCAAGGGGATCAAGGGTTACGGGGAGAAAATGGGAAAATGGAGTAGAGAAATTTATCAGCCATGATTGAATGGCAGATCAGATTCAATGGGCCGATTGGCCTAACTTCTGCACCTTTCTTTTATGGTCTTATGATCTAACCCTGGATGTTGGAGGTGTTTTAATGAGTTTCTGAATTTATCAGAGTTAGCCGGGGTGAGTAGTTAGTGATGGGAGGTAGAAGTGGAAAAGTCAAAGAGGTTGCCATGGGCATAATCACTGCAACAGCTGTGGAAGCTAACATCTTGGTGTACATGCACACATTCTCATGTAAAGCACCCCATCCGGGTTTTTATCTGAGTTCCAGTGGACTGTCAAACTTCCTTCACCCTATACCCAGGTTGCAGATCAATCATGCCTGAATGATTCACCGTCCATTTAATCTAACTCGAGATTATTCTCTGCGATAAGTGTAGCACCAGTATCTAAGTTGGTGGCTATGAGTGTCAGATTTAGAGATGGGGACTCTTTGTTAACACTGTGCTACTGCTTGCTTCCCTCATTATGGGCCTCCTATAGTTGCAAAGTTTATGTATAAAACTCAGGAACTCAGAAGGGGAAGGTTGATGTAAGGGAACTGTGTTTGAGTGGGAAGCAACAGATCCATAGTCACACCCTGTGCAGTATGAAAATGAGCTTGAAGTCAAGGAATGTCATAAGACACAATCCCAATCCTCTCACTGACGTTAGATACCATGGAAATTCATCGAACATCCTCCAAAGCCACCCACCCATTATTCACTATGTACTGTACTCTGGAGCCACACAATAACAATGGAGAATATCAGTTTGTATAAAATATCAATATGTATAAAATTGGTTAAATTTGTGGCAATTGAATCAAGCTCTCATTCAATAATCTGCTGTTTATACAAAGATAAAGATGGAAAATAATTTAGTCCTGTAAGTGACCATTAAGTTGTATAACAAATAATCATGTTCAGAGAACCCCAACAGTGCAAAGAGCATCCCTCTCAGACCACCATCCCAGCCCCATAACCTCCCATGTCCCCCACCCCATTTTCCCTGGCTAACCCTGGACACTATGATGCAATTTAGTATGAAAAATCCACCTAACCTGCACATTTTTGGACCGTGGGAGGAAACCAGGACACCAGCAAAAACCCAAACAGACACAGGGAGTACATACAAATTCCACACAAATCATGACCTCAGGCTGGAATTGAACCTTAGTCCCTGGTGCTGTTAGGCAGCAGTGCTAACCACTAGCCACTGAGCTTGATAGGGTAGTGTGCCAATATATTTTTCTACATTTTTGAATGCATTATGACACTTCCTCTATGACAAAATGTATTGTAATACATGTGATATGGACCAGACCAAACCCCCTCAAAATATTTTAAGAGGATAGCCGAGACCCTAACTTTTTTGTGTTTTTAGGGGCGAATGTGAAGTGCCTATTCCGAATGCAATGTGACTGGTCAAACTACTCAGCATTAAGCAAAACACAATTTATTTAAACACTAGTTAAATATAACCAAGAAAGAGGAATTTAGAATAACTTAACTCTATAGGAAAACTTAACAGAATAGTAGATACAGCCCTTATTACTAGTTACCTGTTCCAACATCCTGTAAACACACCCCTTGGCAAAAAAGGAAATTCAGACATAGATTCTCACATGCAGTCCTCCCATCCAGGAGGAGAAAGCATCAAGAGAAAATTGAGAGAGAGTAGCAGCTGAGAGACATTTCCTGAAGCTTCCAACTCTGTCAAGACCCCAAAATCTTCTGCTTAAAGCTAAACCTAAAAACCCAGAAATCCTGATCTGCGAGAGCTGACCACATCCATTAAGGCTGTTAAAAACAAAGACAAGGCATCCTAAACTGTTTACTGTTGTGGTTTACTAGGCTGTTTGATGCCCTCTGCCTTACAACCTCTCCTCAAAAACAACCAGGACAAAATAACTGTTTTACAGACAAAATAACTTCTTAAAGTCACAGCATCATCACACATATCAAAACTTCAATAATGCTGGTCAGTGCAATTCTCAACATATCTTAGCAAGATAAAGCCCTACGATGAATTATTACATTAAACACATGTATGTTACAATGCAGCATCCTTAAACGTGTCAAATCATTTCACACTTACTTACAAGGATGTTTCCAACTCCTCAGGAGACTTCTTTCAGTGGTCACAAGCTCTTCAGTATGCCTAAAGCCCTCACAATCAGGATCCTGACCTCAGAAGTGGTGTGTGTGTGTGTGTGTGTGTGTGTGTGTGTGTGTGTGTGTGTGTGTGTGGTATTTTCGCCCTAGCGCATCCTGACCTATAAGAAGACCTGTGTTGGTGTGGTTTTGGCACAGCAAAGGACAAATTGATTTTTCCTGGCAGATAAATCTAAACTATGTCCTTGACTTTACAAGCTGATCCTATTTCCACAAGGACACGGTGATCTGTAAAACAGTGCTGCAGGGCTCTCCTGTTGTTTGCAGATGCTGCAGGCTACAGCCAAGAGTAGAAAGCAGCACAGGATTCATTCAGACCAATGTTACTTTTGTTCTGATTAGATTGGTGGTAGAAGTTTGTGTTTTGTCCATCTTGATCTGAATGGACTCAGGCAAGTCGTAAATCATGACTTCAAGTGCAAAGATGGATCTAACAAATTTCATGCTCAAAAAACTAGGCAAGACGTTTGAAGACAAAGAATACAGAATTAACTTCCTCACACAGAATTATAAAAGCAGATTCTCCAGATTAGAGTAGGATGCAGCATTTATACAATATGAATGAACTGAACCTCTAAAGAAAATGTTGGCATAAATAACACTGAAACACATTCATTTAATAAACAGTTAAGTTTTAGTTGCAAGCTGTCCTTATCAGGAAAAAAAAATAGAGCAGCTGTATGTTCTAATAATTTCCTGAGGGACTAGTATTTCTCATTGTGTGACCATCATAAGTTTTAAAAAATCATTGCGGCTTGGAGCAAAATCTTCATATTTCCACAGAGAAAAGCAGCTGTTCATAAACGTTAAGATAAAATACCGATCGAACTGAGCTAAACTTAGATGAAAAAGTGCATGCTTCTGGCATAATGCATTGCTGAAGGATCTGCTTCCGGTTGCCGTAAGTATACTTAACAAGGTAGAGAAACAGGAGGCTAGAAGAACACAGCAAACCAGGCAGCATCTGGAGGTCAGGAGAAGTCAATGTTTTAGGCATTACCTTTCTTCACCCCAGTCCTGAAGAAGGGTAATACCTGAAACATTGACTTCTCCTTTCCTCGAGATGCTGCCTGGTTTGCTGTGTTTTTCCAGCTTCCTGTTTCTCTACCTTGGATTCCAGCAGCTACAGTTTTTTTTTGTCATTATATTCTAACAATGACTATTAAGCAAATCCAGCATTAAAAAGAATCTGCAAACAGAAAGAATATGTCCAGGTACTACACCTTTTTATCAATTACATTTAATTACTCAATTGTTCCTGAGTGTGTTGTACATGGCAACACATTGACCTATTAAAGTCCACTTGCCAATTAATCAGCATCTTTTCTCTCTTGCAGTACAAATTGCTGTTCCCTTTAAAATTTGATGTGGAGGTGCCAGTGTTGGACTGGGGTGGACAAGGTCAGAAATCACACCACACCAGCTTATAGTCCAATAGGTTTATTTGAAAATACAAGCTTTCAGAATGTAGTCCAACACTCCAAAAGCTTGTGTTTTCAAATGAACCTGTTAGACTATAACCTGGTGTTGTGTGATTTCTAACTTTGAAATTTGAGTCTCTCATGTCTGTCCTGATGAGTTCAAGGTGCAAAGAGTTGCCTGCATGTCTCTTTCTCTGGTAATTGAAAGAAAGTAATTTTTATTTGATCACAGTGGATGGTATTTGAAAGATGAGAGTATAAAATCGAAGATTTTGAGCTGGATTTAATGCTGCTTGTAATGTTGGGAACCACGGTGGCTGGACCCACTTAAATGTGAGTGAGGCCTTTCATTAGTTTCCTGGTAGCACCGGACCTTCCCTTTTTAATGCATGCGGAGTGGCTTTGGGTTCCAAATCTCAGTATACAGAAAAGCAACCCATACCGATCGAATCCTCAACTTCCACAGCCACCACCCCAACATCCACAAACAAAACTGCATTAGGACACTATTTAAATGGGCCAGGACAGACTGCAACACCCCGGAACTACGCCAGGAAGAGGAAGAACACTTATACAAGATCCTCGCTTTAAACAGATATCCCCGCAACTTCATCTACAGATGCCTACATAACAGACAACAACAGGGGGACACAATACGACCTAACACACTTACCACACTTCCCTACATCAGGAGTATATTGGAACTGACAACAAGACTCCTAAGACCACTAGGAGTCATGGTTGCCCACAAGCCCACAGCCCCTCTACGACAAACACTTACAAGGATTAAAGACCCCATTTACACAACATGCAGAACCAACGTGGTTTACAAAATACCATGCAACGACTGCCACAAACATTACACCAGATAGTCAGGAAGGAAACTAGCCATCATGATACACGAACATCAGCTAGCAGCAAAACGGCACATTGAACTCTCCTTAATATCTGTACATTCAGACAATGAAGGCCATCAGTTTAACTGGGACAAAGTAACCATAGTAGCCCAAGCCAAACATAGACACGCATGGGAATTCCTAGAGGCATGGTTCTTCAAACAACAAACATATAGAATTGGACCCCATATATAAACCCGTACAGATCAACACCGGAAATGACAGTACTCACCATAATAGACCGGACAGTATAAATTCCAAACGGAGTAGAATAACATCACTTCATCAGAGGCTCCACTGATGATGTCACCTAGAACAAGCCAGCTTGGCAAGCAAGTCAACAACCTCATTCACAACCCAAGCTGCAGATCTTTGCCAAAAACTTTAAATGTGTTGGTCGCAATCTTCCAAATTCTCTACATTTTGCAAATGCCCCAAAAGACTAAATAATCATAAAATTAACACCTCTATCTAAGAAAGGAGGGGGGACATTCTATTATTAATTAATCTCACTTCATTAATGTACATTAACAGCGACAATTCACACCATGAAAGTCAGAGTGGGGACTTTGATCTCGAACTACCTGATTGCTCCTTCGAAACTGACATCTCAGGGTACACTCAGTGGGCAGTGATCACCTAAATTGTATCACTGGAAGTTGGCGTCAGATATGCACAAGACTCACCACAACCGCCTGGCACATTTCTGACTCTCATAAAGTACAGTTCTCCACTTCAATGCTGCTCCTTAGAGCATACCAGTACGTGGCATTGTAATGCTGCTAGCGGGACACTTTGCACACATGGACACGCACCTAGCTCACAGATTCAATGAGAGTGCACCTCAGGACTTGTCACTCGGTCCCTTAGCGCTCACTCATTTTGTGTCTATCTGGACACTGACAGCATCTCTGCCTTCCATTGCCTTGCCTTTTTGTGCTTTTCAACATCAGTGAGAACTTGGAGGCTCAAAGTCCTTCTGCATTTCCCTTACTGTTAAGCACAGACACAAAGCCAGGCAGCTCATTATGGTTGTCAGCGGTGATCAGTCAAGGGAGTGGAATGTTGCTCTATGGCACCATGATACATCAATGTCATACCTACAGCAAATGCCAAAAGAATACGAGGTAAACACAATAAATTTCAGTCAAACGGGCACATCTAAAAGACTAAGGGGAGTAGTTCTCACTCAAACCTTTGGGGAATGTCTTTAATTAGGAGGTAGCAGCAGAGTAAGTGAAAGACATTCTCCCATCTCAGTCCAGGTGCTTCGACAGAGTCAGTCAGCCACTTGGGGCAACTGGGGTGTCTATATTTTTACAGTCCAGGGAGAGGATGACAGTCAGACCTGCAGGGCCAGTGTAACCAAGCTAGGGATTAGTGGTAGGTCCATCAGTCAGGGGTCTGGTCAGTCACCAGTCAAGTCTGTATGCTCAAGGCAGTCTGTAAGTTCCAGGGTCAGTCCTGGGGGACAATTCAATAAAAATCAAGTGGGATTATCAGGGCCCACTGCGATGGCAGGAAGCCAATTCTGGATAGTTGAGACAGCATGTTGATGTGCAAATGGGACAATAATCATGAAATAAGGAAGATCAACTTTTAAGGGAAGGGCACTATGGTACATTAGAGGATATGGGTTACTACAGAAAGAAGGGTCATCAATGGTCACACGCACCTTGTCCTCAATGGGGGAGACAGTGCAGCATAATGGTTGGCACATTCAATCTGTAGGGCTGGGACTCAGGGGGTGATATTGGGAGATGAAGTCGTAATTCAAAGTGGTGTGCGCGCGGGAATGTGTGGAAACTCAGTACTGATGGTCTTAACAGGGAGTTCCAGGAAGAAAGGAACAGGGAGATTTAGGGGGTGCCCTTAATTGTTTGATTTGATTTATTGTCACATGTACCTAAGTACAGTGAAAAGATTTGTTTACAAGCAGTGCAGGCAGATCATAGCAGTGACATACGGATCATAGGGTAAAAATAATCTTGCACAGAGTGAGGCATACAGGTTACAACGCTCAGGATGTGCACTAGGCAAGGTAAACATTAACAAGATCAGTGTTATTTGAAGTTAGAGAGCCCATTCTTCAGTCTAATAATGACAGGGAAGAAGCTGTTCTTGAACCTGCTAATGCGTGAGTTCAAGTTTCTGTATCTTCTGCTCAATGGAAGAGGTTTTTATTTTGATTCATTCACAGAATGAGGACATTGCTGGCTAGGTAGCATTTATTGCCCATCCCTAATTGCTCAGAGGGCAGTTCAGAGTCAACTACATTGCTTTGGGTCTGGAGTCACATGTAGGCCAGACCAGGTAAGGATGGCAGTTTCCTTCCCTAAAGGACATATGTGAACGAGATGGGTTTTTCCGACAATCGGCATTGGATTCATGGTCATCATTAGATTCTTAATTCCAGACATTTATTGAATTCAAATTCCACCATCTGCTGTGTCAGGATTCGAGCCAGGGTCTCCAGAACATTATCTGTGTCTCTGGTTTAAACACTCCAGCGATAATACCACCAGGCCATTGCCTCCCCTCAAGCACTCAGTGATATACGAATAACATGGTTTTCAGAGAGCATTACTGGGGTGCGATGGGTCTTTGATGATGTTAATTACCAGGTTGAGCATTCTATGTCAAACTGTGCCAAACATGACTTGAATGACTTTCCATGCACACGTAAAGTAAGTATGCAAAAAATA